TCAAGTGTACTGCATTCCTTCCACTAAATAAGTAACAAAATTGTAGTGTGTCACAAAAAATATAAAAAAGATACTAAAAATACTCTTTGCGATATATCGACACAGCTGAACACAATAATGATACCGTGTCATCAATTTTAGTATCACGATATATCACTATATATCGATATGCATCCCTTTATTACAGTGTATTTTGGTCAAGAGTTATGTTTCTTCTGTGACAGGGGTGTCAAACTAAAATAAAAAAACTGGGACTAATTCGTGGCCAAACTAAATATTTATTGAAAAATTTCAACAACATCTGCATGTTTTCTCTTCTTTTGAGATATGTAATGTTTAAACCTTTTCTTATTAAAATAAATGTTTAATAATAGTTTTGCTTAAACATTGATCCAGAACAAGCGTAGTATAAAATAATAACACAATTTTAAATAAATAATGTCTCTATAGCCGACATGTCTGTCCTATGATATTAATTTCTGATATAATGCAGAAATGACGTCCCTGGATCTCCCTGTACAGCTGCCATTATGCACCAACAACCTTTCCAATAAACATATTCAAACAAGCAAAGTAGGTAAAGTGTCTTGCACAAGGACACAACCATATGCTTTGTTTAGTATGACAAAGCTCAAACTGCCATCCTTTTCTGTTAGTTGGTGAACACAAAAACCCAATGGACCATAATTTTTTTAAATATATATTTCTGCCATTGAAAGCATTTTAACGTATCCAATCAGCCTATGCTAGAATTGATGTTGTATTTTTCAGCATGAAGGTTGCGTGATGTTATTACATATGTACACATGTATCTGATGAACTCCGTCTTGCTGTGTTCATAACCTTCAAAACTATATAGCGCATTTCTCTCTCCACTTCCTTCCCCCTTCCCCTCGGTGTGTGGAGATGGCACAGAGTCTGAAAGAAGAGCTGTTTATATGATTGACATTCAATAAACTCAGCAGAGATAAACACTGCAGTATGAGGGCTTCAGATAAACAGAGAGAATTGGAGTTATTAGTGAGAATGGAGAACACATTGTACAATCGTGTTACAGAAATACAGACAGCAGGATCAAAGTGGACTGGCCTGGAGGCTGTTTTCTATGTGTGTCGGTTATGGCACCTGTCCACAGAAAAGTGTGAAAACAATATTAATGGCTTGGGGTTTTGCAGAGCATTCATGGTCAATAACACTCACGATGTTCTTTCTCCAAATCACACTATTGTTTAGACTGTTATTAATGTAAATACTGTTGGCTAACTGATGTGGGGTATAGTCAACGTTTACTTTTCTGATTCTGATTCTAAACTGTTATCGACCTTTTGGAGCTTTCGACCATGTTATAACGTTCCTTCATCAAAAACATACCCGAGGAGGTTTTATTTGCCATCCAGGCATGTCTGAGTAATCTTGTGATCTCTCCTGAGCACTATTCGCGCCCTCCTTACATTTAGCAGTACGATTCTGTCCAATCTTCAGTCTACAAATCTATGTCACCTATTCTCCTGCACGGCAATTTTAGATAAATATTCAACACCAGGATATAACTTCATAAATCTGATTCGATATGCTGTAGTTTCATTAACAGGATGCAAGCTCTGAAGGGAAAGAGACTGAAATGACTTGAATACATTGTTGTGTTGACAATTAAAACCCCCTCTTTAACTGATGTGAAGTCAAGTGTGAATTAATGTACCCCTTAAGGACAAATAAATATAATGAGTGTATGAACTGTGATCAAATCTGAATTGTGATCAGAATGTTTTATTGTAGCGCAGCTGGTAGCGTGTTTGTCCACTGAGCCGAAGGTTTGTGGTTCGAATCCCGCTCTTGACATAAACACCATTTGTAGAACAAGGGCTGCATGATTATGGAAAAAATCTTTATCACGATTATTTTTGGTCAATACTGAAGTCACAATTATTCAGATGATTATTTTTCAGTTACACGATGCATTTATTCAGCATTTCTCTTTCTCAAAATAAAAAAAACAAAACACTTTGTTATTGATAATTTACGTAAAACTTTCAAAATGAAAATAAATACAGGCTACAAATATGCGTGAAATAAGTCATAGAAAAATATAAATGTATCCAAATAAAATATATATGCAGCTGTTCTACGATCTCAATACTTAAAACTAAAATAAATATACTTACTTATATAAAAATGATCCTGAAATAAACTTAGTTAAGTGCATTCACACTAGGACTTTAGAACCATGCTGTGCACAAGAATGATTGCTATGGATTCTGTCTTATGCACTCACACCTGCATAACCAAACTGAGTCACGGCCGATGACATCATCACATGGTGCTGTTTAGTTACATGTCGTTCAGCAGAGCCAGCACTTTAGTGGACAAAGTAAGTCCAGTGGCAGAAATGTCTATTAAATAGTGAGGCAGATACGAGTCCTGCTGCGATACGCTTCTCCATGAGTTTATGGATATAATTTGTACTGTAGCTCCACATTACGCCCATTCTGCACAAGTGCTTGCGGGGGCATCATGTGAATCCTCACAAACCTACAGTCATCACGTCCTGGACCTCACTTTCGCTGGCATGTAAATCGTTTCAACTTGATTTTATGAGTTTGGAGATCGTCTGACACACAAATTGAAATTGTGATCAATATTCGATTAATTGCACAGTCCTAGGTAGAGTCGTCAAATCCACTCAACTACAGGTTGGAGATGCAATTCCAGCTCCCAGAATGATGATGTTGCGTACTTGGGCACTTAACCCACCTTGCCCTCAGTGTCTGCGTGAAAGGTGTGAATGTTTGCTTGATGTTGATTTAATTTTGATGATATAATTCTTGGCATATCACATCCCTAAGTAATTTCTTCCATTTACACCGGGGGCAAACACTAGCGGGGCTAATTATGAGCAGTGTTTGATGCACTGATAGCCCACTGATCCGTCCCAAACTTTCCATAGAGTTTCTTTGGCTTTCTGGACCTCACCCAAAACAATGAAGTAGGTGGCACATTTCTGGCACAGTTTGGCACATTGTTTGACAGAGTGTCCTTGGGTTAAGGCTGCACCCTGTCACCTCTCCTCCAGCATCAGTGACACAGCAAACCTCACCACGGGCTCCAGCAACCTTTTCAACAACAGGACATTTACCCTTGCCCCTCGCACAAGTGCACCACATTAGAGATGGAAATGTTAGACTAGCCGTAGCAAGAAGCTTTGGGCGCTTTTCTAACAGTTATGAGCTGAGGATTAGGGCTGAGTGATTTGAGAAAATGATTCAATTGCACTTTTTCTGACAAGTAGAGTTGTGATTTATGTTTTAATGAAAGAATTCTGTACAACGTTTAAAGGGATGCATTGATACTAGGGGTGTCACGATGTCCAAGTCTCACAACACGATATCGTCACAGTATGAACCACAGATATCATGGGAAAGCTCACGATATGGTTGGAAGGCTCACGATTAGGGATGTAACAATATCCAAATCTCTCTGTACGATATTTTCACGATATACATCTCACAGTACGATATTTATTGCAATATTTTGTGGAGGCTAACAAAACAAAAGTACTACTTTTTCCCCTTATAATGCCTTGACAAGACTTAATCCAAAGAACTGTGACTTAAAAGTGCTTAGAACTGTTTCTTCATGTTGTCTACACTGAAATGGAGCAAAGGATCATGGTCTATGTAGTTAACGCTGTCTTTTTTTTAGCTATTGCTGCACCAAAACTCTTTCATTTAAGCAAAAAGACTTGTAATTCGATATATTGTGATGGTCCACGACATTATTCTGAGAACTTTGACGATACGATATCATGATATTTTGGTTATTGTTACTGATACAGTACTGGTTTCGGATACTGACGCAGATTCTGGAAAATTTTCTGGACCAGATATTGACTGAACTGATATTTGATCCAGTAAATTTTCCAGAATCTGTGTTTGACATATAATAGAGGCATAGTTGCCCCTGAAAGTCTATTAATGTTTGAATTTGTACTTACTTGAGGGATAAATAACAGCTACATAACACTTCTCGATCATTATTATTATTTTTTTATTTAGATTTTTTTTTTTTTTTTTTGAGAGAGAGGAATTAAATAACATTTTCAGTCTCTGCACAGATACTTAAAGCTTCAGTATTGAAATCTCTTTACTTTACTTTCAAATGCGTCCAGAAATATTGACTGAAATATGAACTGACAAACTAATACAAGAATCACAGTTGAGAACTACAGGGTTAGCAGTTTTTATGCAGAATAAGAGGATATTTTGTTGCTTGTAGAGTAAAAGTATGGCAGTGAAAAAATAGCTGCCGTTGCGATTTGCTAATTGCGTCTACTTAAATTTTGATTCCATTGTGATTAATCTTTCAGCCTGACTGAGCGTAACCCACTGTAATCCTTTGTTTTTACTGTATTTTCACAACTTTGGTTTATTTTTACACCTTTCATCCCACTCTTGTTTACAGCAAAAAAAAAACAAAACAATCCTATAGGGTCACACCAATTTATATTCGCCAAGCTTTCTTCTATATATTTCTTTATTGTGTTGCTTTTTGTTGTTCTAAGCTTGAGGCTAAACGTAGCTGCATCACTAACACTCTCACAGTCACACTTGTATAACCTTCATCATACGCCTTAACAAAAAGCACAGAAATCCAATACTATATCTCCGGCTTTCTTCTCACTTTCCCTTTCTTTCTTTGTATTCCTGTACTGTCTTATTTTCACTCCCAGTGGAATAATTTCTTTCTGAGCACCTGAAAATGCCTGCAATTTGCACGTTCTGTTATGACAACTATCCCAGCCTCCTCACTACACGTTTTTTCAACAATCTTCTTTGTTCGCACACCCATTTTGCATGCCTGGCTCTCCCTTGGTCCCCTCGGAGCCTTCTCCCAGTCCATTCTTTCCCTCCTCGATCCATTTATATGTGTGATTCCCATGCTGTTTCTAAGTATTCAGAAAGACACGTTTTTTCTCCATCCATTTTGTTGTGTTTTTTGCTTACTTGTTTTCTCGTCTTCCTTCCTCCCTCCGCTCTGTGATTTCTTCTTAATCTCTCTTTTAGATTTTCCTTTTTTTCTTTGTTGATGTCAGTGGTGAATGTAGAGCGCAGACACTTGACTCAGATGAAGGTCACATTGAGCTATAAGAGAAAAGAAAAAAAAAAAAAAACGGATGAGTGACAGAGCAAATATATTCACGGTATAATCCGAAGGAGCACATGCACTTGAAGATAAATTATAAATCATGTTTTGGTTGAAAGTGGAGTTCACCATTGGTCACAGGGTAAAAGTTTAATCTAACTCTAAACTTTTGTCTGAAAATTGTTGTACCATGAAAACAAAGGGTCTTAGTTTTGCATTAGTGAAGTTGCCAACAGCATTACTTACATGATGTTACTACAAAATGTACACCTTTTTCATTATAAATGTATTCAATAATGTGTATATGTTGTATTATGGTTTAGAAATACTCTTTAGAAGACACTACACATTTTACTACAGTTTTCCTTTTGTTCAAACATCCATTTTGCATGCCTTGCTCTCCCTTGGTCCCTCTGAGACTTGTTCTAGTCTATTCTTTTTGTCAATTAATTTCCTTTCCACCTCTTTCTTGCTTAACTTTTTAGAATTAGCATGACTTGTTGCTTTCATGTAATATTACAAAGTTCACAATACTGCTTTATTATTTGATTTGTTGGCATTTCCCCTTGCCATCACACTAGTTCACAAAATTAGAGAATGAAAATGCTATAGCAGATGGCTTTGGGCGCTATGCAAACATTTGTCTTCCGAGGATTAAGTCTTGCGATTTTTCTCACAAGCAGATTTGCGATTTATTTAGTTAATAATAGAATTCTATACAAAGTTTACATTTAAATGTCCCATTTTATGCTATTTTTTGATATATGTTATACCAGGGGTTTTCAAATTAGGTGAATGTGAGCCACCCTTTAGAGTAGGTAAAAACAGTCGAGCCCCCTCCCCTTGCCCAAACTCCCATCCGCCTGCCCTACCCCACACACACAGGCCTCTGAAGTAAATGCATCTTTTGTGTTCCTGATGAGTTTCAATAACTAATGATAATATATATTTTTAATATTGTATTTTCAGACTTTTTTTTTTTTAAAGTGCATTCATAAACGATTTTTGTAACAGCAAATCATTTCCAACTTCAAGCAGGCCTAACTGAGGCTACTTTTAACATCACTGAACATCAGTAGGTCACAAGGACTAAACCAGGACTAGACCAGGACTAAACCAGGACTAAACCAAGTCTAAACCAGGACAAAACCAGGTCTAAACCAGGTCTAAACCAGGATTAGACCAGGACTAAACCAGGACTAATTTTGGACTTGAGAGAGAAGGAGAACCCCGAGCCCAAGATGTCCGCAAAGCACCAACAGGCGACAGCTGCGCTTAGCTCCGTGAGGCTCAGATCTCCGAATCGATCCTTTCACCCGCGGTCACCCGACAGTCTACGCAGGTGCACCTCCAGCCAGTTCCAACACTCGGTGCTGGTTCAGTTTTGGTTTAGTCTTGGTTTAGTCCTTTTTTGTCCTAGTTCAGTCTGGGTTTAGTCCACATTTGTGTCACTCCTCCCCAGTGGCTCTTTGGCACAACGCAGGGGAGGTGGGCCTTTCCTATTTTTTCCTTTTCCTTACTAAAAACATACCTGGAGGTTGTTTTTTTTTAGCATTATTGAACTTGAGCAGTCCACACTTGTTGCTTCCATGTCATTGTTACAAAGTTCACAAGATTGCTTTGTCACTTGATTTTGGCATTAGTTTCATACCGTATAGCTGAATTACGAACACTGGTATCCTAACAGTTGAAAATACCTGTGCAGTGACATCTACTTGCACCCGAAGGCGTGAAGGCTCCACAGTACAGCTCATATAACAAAGTGTCAGAGAGTGTGACTTTATGGGCCAGGACTGGTGTCAACATCAATGGATCAGTAATCACAATGAGAGCGCCCCGGGCCGCGCTGAACCAATCCCGCTACCGACCAACAGACGCTCATCTAGTGTTACATTCGCGCAACAACAAACACAGAACGCCAGAGTTCATACAAAAAGGTCAATAAACTGGTCACTGGAAAAGTCAGCTATAGACCGCGCAATGTGTCAACGCATGATATCGACACGGGGGGCTGTGATGTGAAACAGGCCATATTGATTGGTAAAAAGAGGAAAAAACCGACAACAGCTACATGGGCAAAAAGAACTTTATAAACTGTTGTCGTGTCAAACTGCGTGATTACGTGTTGTTTTGCTGTAGCACCATTAAAGTCTGAGCTCCACAGGGTTTGCTATAGGTGATGTCTGAACAGCTACAAAAGAAATGAATACATGTATTTTTCAGCTTTTAGCAGAAACTGAAATATCCTATAGATGCAATACGACAGATCCTGCCCTCTTCACGGCGCCTTGGTAATGACATAATCAATCTCATTAGCTGCACCTCACCTTAGATGCACTCTCTTACGAAAGGCTTGTGCTGGTCACTTGTTTATTATTTATTTATGTGCAGAAGTGGGACTGTAAGCGCATTGTCTAAAATGGGAAGTATTTTTTTAATTCAAACATTTACTTACAATGCAGTATAGCAGGCTCCTTAAAACTTTTATTTTCTGACTTCTTTAAAGATTGACTGTGTGATTTTCCTGGTGAGGGATCAGCTGCCTGCTTGTTTCCATGGAAATATAATTGGTTTGTCTGGAATGTTCCACAATATCGTTTTAATCTCATGTATCTGCATAAAGCCTCTGCTACTTCTATTACTGCTACTACTACTACCACTACTACTACTAGTATCACTACTACTGCCACTACTGCTGTTACTATTATTTCTATTGCTGCTACTACTACTACTGCTACTGCTATTACTGCTACTACTGCTACTATCATTACTACTACTATTACTGCTGCTGCTGCTACTGCTACTACTACTACTACTACGACTACTTCTACTTCTACTACTACCACTACTGGTGTCGCTATTATTACTACTGTTACTACTGTTACTACTGCTACTGCTACTACTACCACCACTACTACTACTGCTGTTGCTACTATTACTATTATTACTATTATTACTATTACTACTACTACTACTGCTGCTATTACTGCTATTATCACTACTACTACTACTACCACTACTGCTGTTGGTATTATTACTATTACTACTACACTACTGTTCCTGCTACTACTATTACTGCTACGACCACTACTACTACCACTACTGCTGTTGCTATTATTACTATTACTGCGACTACTACTGCTGGTTGCTATTATTACTATTGTTACTACTACTAGTACTACTACCACTACTACTACTAACATGGATACTACACTGCTTTTCAAACTTTTTACAAACCTTCAGTGCATCTGGTTACTTTATAAGCGCGTACTAAAAGCAGCATTTCCAAAGCATTATCTGAACAACACAACACAGCCAATTCTCATCTGTTAACCGAAGAAAATGTCTTAAAAACTCATTTAATCCATTGGTTCACAAGGGCAGCTGCAGCTCTATGAAACTACTGCTATCACATTACAACAGGGAAGAAAGCCTATACTCAAAGAACAACAAAAGACTCTTCTCACTGTTGTGGAACTCTTATGTAAAGAAAACGCTTTATATGCAACAGACTTTTTAAAAATCCTGTTAGTTTAATTAAATTTGCTGGTAAGTGAATTTGGGTTTAATATGAGACCTCACGGCAAAGGCTAATGCACGAGTGTGTGTGTGCTATGGTGAGCTTGAGACTGGTAAAATACTTAACCCTGGAGTGAGCGTCTCCACCTGGGACTCTACCAGCAAAACATTAAAACAGCAGTCAAATCACTTTAAACTCTGGAAAAGATGAAATACACACCAGCTACTGCATGGGAGACAGGCAAAGAGAGGGGAGGCGGATTGTGACAACGCGGCACACTGCTGGATATCTGGATAGCAAGATTTTTCCTAAATAAGTAAGTCATCCAGACCTCACATTTCCATTGGATCCGTCCAGGAGTGCGGAGCGGCCAAAAAACCCAGCGAAGCTACACACAAAAACACAAACATGAAAGGAGGATGATGGAGGAGGGAAAAAAAAAAAAACAGAGAGAGAGAGGTTTGGAAATGGGAAATTTAAAAAGAACACCTGCAAATACTAAGTGGTAATGTGGACGGGAGCCAGTGCCAAGTGAATCAGCAATGACTAACAGCTTAAACCAGCACTTTGGAGCGGGCAATAGGGAATATCTAAAGATGTGTGAAAGCCCTCAAAAATAAAAGTTACTCTTTTTTTCTTCTTTTTTTAGCACTATGTATAAATATACAATGCAAAAATAAACTGAAAGAACTGAAGTATTAACAATATTAACAATAGTGATAAATAAATGTGATCATTTATTGGTTACAAGCATAGAGAGCTGAGTCATATGGCCAAAAAATTATATCTTTTTGCACATGCTGGACGATTACAGTTTTAATCGAAGCCAGATCTTTACAATGCCATAATAATCCTCGATTTCATGATGTTTAAATTTTTCAAAATGTCATTTATTGGATTACAAATTAATCCTATTCATTTGACTTAATGCCCAGCCCTAGTTACTAGTTCAGTGCAATTGTGAAGACAGCCAAATATTACAGATGTAATGATATCCAAGTCTCACGATATGATACGTTACAGTATGAACCTCACGGTACAATATTTATTTGGGATATCATGGGAAAGCTCACGATATGGTGGGGAGGCTCATGATTAGGGATGTGACAATATCCAAATCTATCGGTATGATATTTGCACAATATACATCTCACTGTATGATGATTTATTGTGATTATTTTGTGGAGGCTAACAAAACAGTTCATATGCGACTTTTTCCTCTTGTAATGCCTTGACAGCACTTAATCCAAAGAACTATTGCCGCACCATAACTCTTATTTTAAGCAAAGAGACTTGTAATTCGATATATTGTGATGGTCCACGATATTATTGTGAGAACTTTGACGATATGATATCACAATGTTTCGGTTATTGTTACATCCCTACCAAATATTATTCAGGATATGGTGTTACGTTTTCAATAAACCCAAATGGAAACACAAAATAATAATTCTGCAAGAAGACATACGGCTGTTGAAT